AGAGAAAAGGATGCGACATGCACTGCAGCGTGACTCTAAAATCATGATATGAATGAGGATCACTGATTATTGTTTAATATAGTAGACAGATTGACAGGCAGACACTCGTGACCCGTTCCACCTACTCAACACTCGTGTGTGTGTGTGTGGAAATATGGCAGCGGTAGCTTGTGTTTTTGGATCTGCGTGGTGTTTTATTGTCCTACAGTGAGCCGTAATTCCCACCGGAGAGGTGAAAAACTCAAGTGCTCCCGTTAACACACTCAAGCTGCCAGATCCCACCGTTAAACGCCTTTTTTAAGTTGGCACGGGTTGCTGTTAACAAAAGCAGGTTAACACGTGAGAATATTAGAGTATCATGTAATTAGTTCAGAATTAGCAGCATTGCAATATTGAACAGTTTATTGAAACTGAATCATCTTTAAAGTAATAGTTCACCCGAAAATTGAAAATTTGGATGGCCTCAACCTCAGACCATCCAAGATGTAGATGAGTTTGTTTCTTCATCAGATTTGGAGAAATGTATTATTCCATCACTTGCTCCCCAACCTCTCACGATCCTCTGCAGTGAATGGGTGCCGTCAGAATGAGAGTCCAAACAGCTGATAAAAACATCACAATAATCCACAAGTAATCCACACCACTCCAGTCCATCAGTGAACATCTTGTGAAGCCGACATTTTTAAGTTCAAACTTCAGAGTCCATAATAATCCATAATAATGTTTCTTTCAGTGAAAAAGCTGGTCTGAATCAGGAGAGAAATCTGTACAGATCAAGCACTGTTTACAAGCCAAAACAACACGTGGATCGATTATTATTATATGTAGCTATAAAGATAAAAAAAAAAAAAGCATCTCGATGGATTTGTTTCTTACAAACACACAGCTGTTGGCTTCTCCAGATGTTAACTGATGTACTGGAGTGCTGTGGATTACTTGTGGATTATTGTGATGTTTTTATCAGCTGTTTGGACTCTCATTCTGATGGCACCCATTCACTGCAGAGGATCCACTGGTGACGCAATGCTACATTTCTCCAAATCTGATGAAGAAACAAACTCATCTACATTTTGGATGGCCTGAGGGTGAGTAAATTGTCAGCAAATTTTCATTTTTCTTTTCATCCTTTAAATCTAATAGCATAATCTTGAGACACATGAACATGCAGAAGTAGCATGCTGGGCGCAAGTTGATTTGATTGAAAAGCCTCAATGAATGCGTGTCATTATGCACCGCTGTATGCACCATCCAGATGTTTCTGTTCCCGGAGAGGCTTGCGGAGAATGGCGCTCCAGTAGAGAAGGTGTGAAAGCCCAATCTGTTCGTTAGTGTGGCTGAAAGCTCCAGACACGGATGTCTTTATTCAGAGAGAATATAATTATGGTTCACACGATCGTGCCTCAGGCAGGGAATTCAACTACGTGAAAATTGTGTCTTTTCATAGCTCACTCCACACACCCACAGACACACCGGCTTCCATCCGTGTCTCTCTGCTGTTTCTGAACACCTGAACGCTCACTGAAATCAATCTCAAGTCATTGTCAATACGACCAGGAACATGCATTTAAAGTCTAATTTGATTTCATGTTGACCTTGCATTTCTAGATGCATGAATGTTAAAGGCTAGTGAAGCATGTCGACACACTTCTGTCTTTTAGTAGTGTCATCTTCCTGAGCAGAGACAAACGAACATGCTGAGCTTGATCCATCTTGTATTTGTGTTTAGGAATGATGATTAAAAGACAGCTTAGGCGTCCTCTGAGCGCCGGTTCATTTGTCATCCTGAGATTATATGACAAAACCACCTCAGTCTCCTTGAATGACCTGCCAAAATGTTTCCTTTGCCAGTTTCTTGAGTGTAAAATGAGAAAATTACTTTCCAAATATCCTTTTAGATACAGAAAAAAGCGCTAATAGGGCTGTGTAATGAAAATTTAGTGCGACTTTTGTTTTATTGTATCATTTTTATATTGTATAATTATTATTAATATATTATTACAATTTTAAAAAAGTGTTTTCTATGTGAATATATTGTAAAATGTAATTTATTACTGCGATCAAAGCTGAATTTTCAGCATCATTACTCCATGATCTTTCAGAAATCATTCTAATATGATGATTTGCTGCTGATTACTATATTACTATATAACTATGTTACTAATATTTTGTGGAAACTGTGATACATGTTATTTTTCCGGATTCTTTGATGAATAGAAAGTTCAAAAGAACGGCATTTATTTGAGACAGAAATCTTCCATAACATTATACTGTAAATGCCTCTACTGTCACTTTTGATCAATTTAATGCGTCCTTACTGAATGAAAGCATTAGTTTCTAGTAGTGTATATTATGTTATATCACGGATATCAGATAAATCACTCAGCCCTAACACATTTTGACACGTTTTATTGATATTTGGCTGCGAGTTCCAGCTCTACTGTAGATCTGAAAATGAGACACATCGTGAGCTCACAGCGCTCTGGGATGATTGAATCCCCATCTTGAGCAGTCGCTAGCACTTGGAGGCAAGCCTAGCCTGGCGTCACGGGCGGCATTCATCACGCACCAAGGTTAAACTGAACTGCAGTTTAGAAACTATAAGCACAGTCATCATGTCAATGTGATATTTCATACTTGCACCCAGAGGAAAGAACCATCACAAATGAGATCTGTCGTTGATTCTGCTAGACAGTAATACGCTTTTCTTTATCTTACTGAAGTCTCCTGCTTCTCTGATGTTTCTCCTGAGAAAAAGACCCCAGTGAGATCTATTCAGATTCATTTAAATGCACAGTACTCTTGACTTCTGAACAGGGATTTGAGGAGAAACATCCGAGACATGCAAGCTCACATTTGCTTGTTTTCATGTAGTTTTTCAGATTGAGTCTGAAGATGATTGTGTAGAGATGCAAGCGAATCTCCTCCAGACTGTGTGTGACTAAGGTTACATGTTTGTGGCTGACGCCACCTGTGCATTAGTCAGCTCTGACATCTCACGGATGCATGTGACAAGCTGATAGTGGTACGATAAACAGGAACGATGTAAAATCATCAGGGGTCGACAGGAATCGAGTCGCAAGTAGATCTGATGTGAGATGCAAGCATATTTCTTTTCTCCGCGCCCGTGAAATTCACCTTTCCGTGGGCTCAGTCTCTCGCCGTGAGAGCCGTAATGCTGTAAACTCCAGCAAACCTTCATGAATCATTTCATTTACAGGCCCGGTAATCCGTTACAGTAATAACTTCATCTCGAAGGGCATCATCCTTTCGTATCTCACCGTTTCCTGGGATAAATAGGGATGCGCTGATGGTATTGCCATCTGGATCTCTGCAAAATACCTTTTCTTAAGCACACAGAATTTCAGGGCTCACTGCAAATAAATAAATAAAATAATAATTTTGTCTTGTTTTCTGGTAAAAATATCTAAGCGTCCTTAATACAAGATACATATATTAGAGAAGCAAAATTGTTTGAAATAAGACTTGCTTTAAGAGAATATATCTTGAATTAAGTTTATTTTTCCTACCTCAGTGACAAAATGCTTTTTCTTGTCAGTGAGGTTAGAAAAAATAAAATAAAAGTCCAATTTAGGTAGAAACTTCATTGAAGATATACAGTATATTCTAAAAGCAAGAAAGCAAGCAATTATTGTTTTACACAATTTTGTTTCTCAAGTAAATTCTTATTTTTATGGATTTGTAGATGTTTTTTACTGGAAAACATTGGTAAAAAAAAAATGCTGCTTAAGCAAAATTAGTATTACTTGTACATACAAGTAAAAGCATTTAGTCTACATAACTATTTATCCAATCTGCATTTTCAATTTTGCTTCTCGAGTAAATTATTGTTTTTAAGAGTTTTTACATGGTTTGTAAAGGAAAACATATTGGTGAAGACAAAAATACTGGCTGAGAGATACTGTTATTATTATTAAAAATGTAAATTAAAATTATCTCTTTATTCTTAATGATTTATTCTACATATTCTATTTATCCAATCTGTATTTTCAATTGTGCTTCTCAAGTAAATTATTGTTTTTAAGGATTTTTAAATGGTTTATTACTACTACTACTATTTTTATTATTATTATTTTGCAATGCTGCCAGAAAATATTTTACACAATTTTGTTTCCCATTTTTAAGGATTTTTAGATGTTTTTTAATGGAAACCATATTGATAAAGACAGAAATGGTGTTTAAGATAATAATAATAACAATAATAATAATTTGTATTATTATTGCTGTTATTATTATTTATATGCAGTGCTGCCAGAAAACGATTTTATCAGGCAAAACATGAACAATGACCTTAAAGTGAAAGCATTTATTCAAACCATTTATCAATGCTATATTTTCTACCAAACAAAGAGACGGTGAAAAATGGCATTGAAGACATGCTAAAGGGAGATTCGCTGATTCCTTGAGCATCACTAAATTATCCTGCCAATGTGAAGCATAATGCAGCATCCTTCCAGACTTTATATACTGCTTTATGTGCCAATGTTTTTATCTGTGTAGGATTTATCCAAGATATTAGTGAAATGGTTAGAGCATTAGAAGTAAATTTATGTGTAGAAATAGTAAAGAAGCCTTTATGGAAACATATATGTGAATGTGTTTAAACTAAGGGAAAGTTCACTCAAAAATGAACGTTCTGCCATCATTTACTCAGACCTGTATGGGCATAAGAATGAGTAAATAATGACCAAATGTTTATTTTTGTTTGCAATAGCCAAACATGTCGTTTTAAGCCTTGAAGGTCATATGTGTGATAGGGGGTCCATTAACCTGTTTCTCACTGATGCTCTTTTATTCTGTCTTCTACTATTTTCCAACTGTTTTCCACTCATTTCTGGCTCGTTTCTTCTTGATTTGCATTTGGATCATTCTTCTTTTGTGTTTTCCAACTGATCGGACGCTTTGGTTTTCTCTCACACACCCCTTTTCTCCCCGTTTCCCCTCACACTTCTTCCCCTCCATGGTTCCCTCTTCCTCTCCAGCTGGGTTTGTGAAGTCGCCAATGTCAGAGATAAAGCTCACAGGAGACGCCTTTGAGCTGTACTGCGATGTGGTGGGTAACCCCGTGCCGGAGATCCAGTGGTGGTATGCCGATATTAACAGGGCGGACTCCTTCAAGCAGCTGTGGGACGGTGCCCGCAAGCGACGGGTGTCCATCAACACGGCGTACGGTGCCAACGGTGTGAGCGTTCTGGCCATCTCCCGCCTCACGCTGGAGGACGCCGGGATCTACGAGTGCCGGGCCAGCAACGACCCGCGCCGCAACGACCTTCGCCAAAACCCGGCCATCACCTGGATCCGAACGCAAGCCACCATATCCGTGCTGCAGAGTGAGTGCTCTATGTACTGTAGTAGCTAGATGCTCAAGTGTCCCACTGTGTCCCCTGTGCACAAGCAGCTACGCACTAGGGCTGGGCGGCGTGGTTTTGATATTGCGTTTATACCAGTGGTGCGATTTGATTTTAATGGGAGTGATTTAGTTTGATATGTCATTCTGCATGCAGCTATAATGATACTGAATTCAGCTGATGTGCATCATGTGTGTGCATCATTCTGAAATGAACTCAGAATGCATTTAAAATCCCATGCAATTTCGGAATTTGAATCGAGGAACTGGAATTGCATTTGAAAAAGAATAGAATTTTTAGACTGCACAAGGGTTACACTGTGGTCCTTAGAGGACAAAAACGTCTGGTTGTGGATGACCACAAACCCAGACAAATCCCTGCTCTCTGTCTGCCTCTCCTCCTCCTCCTCACTCCTTCCTCCCTCACCCTACATGCCCATCCTGGCTGTTTCTGTGTTTCCTGTGTTGCTTGGGTTCTTTATTTTCATTTCATACGGACTCAGGAATCTTTTGCCTGTTTGTTTTTCAGTTTTGCGTTGCGTGGGTTGTTTTATTTACTTCAAAGCCTGACATTGTGTGCCCTGTGCAGAGCGTAAAGCCTAACGGCGCTTTGAAGTCATGCCGTGTTTTATCTGTGCATTTTGTCCTTGGAAAAGGGTGGATGGGACCAGGAAGAAGACACAAGGAAAAGGGGTAATTTCAGTTATACGGGCAATTCCTTATCTCAATATCTCAAAAAAAAAAAAAAAAATCATAATCTTATCTCTGGTGTAAAACTGACCCGTGTGCGTCCACAGCTGGAGAATGACCTTGTGCCTTCTTTGCATTTACTGTTTGCCCGTGATTCAGTAATGACATGATATTCCTCCCGCTCTGATCCCCAAACATAAACCAATCAGTCGGGTCTGATTCATTTATGTGTGCTTAACTGAAGTTCAGGGATTACTGTCCATCAAGGGCTTGCTAAATTAAGACAAACATCTTTCTGTGTCAAATAACATGATATCATATTCTGTCATTACTGAGAGTCAGTGTTGTCATATTATATCCATGTGATACGGCATCATCACATGCATATAACAGGCTATACATGCCGAAGCGTATAGTTTGTCAACAGGACCATGTCCAGATTGATGGTGGTCTTGTCGAGCTTCTCGTGTGCTGAGGCTGTAGACTGTAGTGAAAACCTCCCAAACCTGCAAAGCTCATTTTAATATTTATTAGGGATGCACCGATGTATCGGCAATTATCTGTTTTAAACAGCCGATGATCAGAGCTGAGTTTGTCCTGTCAATCAAAAGCTCTCAAATTGTCCATTTTATCACAAAAAAAATGTAAGAGTCTCTTCTACTTTAATACTAGTTATAGCATGAAATTATCATACAAGAGAATCAGAAGGTGTTGAAAGATACAGTACAACTTACTGAAATTAATCAGGTCTCATGTAATCGCTCAGACAGAGTTTCAGCCATGGAAAGATGCCAATTGCTTATGAACGATATGTCACTTAATGCATTCACCTCAGGAAAGATATCCAGTGTTCACAGTTGGTTAATGAGCTATAAAATCAACAGAGAGGAGATTATTTACTGTTAATTATATATGTATGTTCGAATAAATCTTTTTATGAAATTGAGTTGAGCACAAACATTTCAGTTTTTGAGTGTGATTATTATATCCAATGTTGGGTAAGTAATTACTAGCTACTAATTAGATCTTCAACAGTGTAATTAAATTCCTCTCTCCAAAAAGTGTTGCATTACTTATTACTAATTACTTTTTAAATCCCATGCCAACCTCAGCCAGTTGAACAATGCAAGGATTTAAATTACAGAAGAATTAAGAGTAATCCCTTACTTTACTTTTTCAAGAGAAAAGTAAATAATTACAGTAATTAATTACTTAGTAATGCAGTACATCCAACACTGACTATATCTGATAATAAATTGCATTTGGATGTAATAGTTTGAGCTCTGCTGTTAATTTTAACCTTTAAGATTATAATAATGTACCAAAATGAGAGAGATCACTGTACTGTTTACGGCATTAGTTGGAAGAGATTTTTTTTTTTCTTAAAGTGATAGTCCACCCTAAAATGAAAAGTCTATCATCATTTACTCACTTGTTTCAAATTTGTATGAATTTCTTTCTTCTGTTTTGAATAATGTTGGTTACCAAACAGCTGATGGTAGCCATTAACTTCCATAGTATGAAAAAAAAAATTCTATGGAAGTCAATGGCTACCAGCAACTACTAGTTTGGTTACCAACATTCTTCAAAATATCTTCTTTTATGTTCAACAGAAGAAAGAAACTCATACAGGTCTGGAACAACATGAGGGTGAGTAAATGATGACAGAATTTTTGGGTGGACTGGTCCTTTAAGAAAGAGATATTGATATCGGCAGATGTCATTCTGAATAATCGGCTCTTGGTATTGGCAGAGAAATTTAGTATCGGTGCATCACTAATACTTATATTTTCACCCCAAACTTCTCTTCACAGTTTTCCTTGCCAAACTCCTCATCGGTGACTGATGATTGTGAGCAGGACAGATTGATTGACCATTAAACTCTCTCCTCTTAGCAGGTGACCTCCAGATGACCTTCGGCAGGATCTCCAGAAGTTCTCGTAGCCGTCCAGACAGATAGTGTGTAGGTGAGGGTAAGCAATCTGACGCCAGCCAAGAGAGAAAGAGAGAGAGTACTAGCAATAACGTTCCCCTCGGCTAAACCAAACTGCTGATGAAGGTGTAAGGAATGCTAATTGGAGGATGATCCCGAGCCCCTCCCAGCGGAGCGGGAATAATATCTGGAGGTTTACTGTACAAACCAATCACAGGGTGATTATGCCTCGCCCTGCTTTTTCCAACTGGGTGCTGTGGTTGCTACGGTAGAGATTCACACACCCGGACGCTTCGCTCAGTGATGTGCGTTTAAATTAAAAGCTTATTAAATGAGGATAAAAAGTAGTGATGTTTTGTTATTTGAGCCCGTAGTAGTCCCAGAAACAATCTGCAGACTTGCCGTGCTTCCGTCCTAATTTTGAGGGAAAATCTATGGAATGTATTTGAATATTTAAACCGTTAATATGATAAAATGTGTTAAATGGAGAAAAATTCACTCCAAAAAATATTTAGACATACATTTATCTGAATTGCATATCAAATGTCCATCCTTTTGGATTATACAGTTTAAACATAAACAGGTCAGATTTCTGTAGTACTTATAAACTGTTTTAAATACACAATAACCAGCTTTATATGTTTATCAATAAATTCAATTGGATTCAAACTCACACATTTTAACTAATTGAATATTAGTAGTTGCTCCACAGCTAGTCATATTTGTAAATGAATAAATTTAATTATTTTTAAACAGATGCTATTTGAATACATAATTATTTAAATAAAATCAAATTGATGCAAATAGTTAATATTAAACTATGCCATGATTTTTTGAATGGAGAAACCTGTATGACTGATACCTTAAATTAAATTTATTAGTTTGTTTATTTTAAAATGAACTAATAATGTTAATGTTGAAACCGTGTAATTCAAATGGCATTATGTAATTCAAATGCATAAATAAAATAATATTAAATAAATATTTTTTTAGTGTTTTATTGATAGCTAAAAGCATCATTTGGCCGTAATATTTCATAAATAGGACGTGTAGAACTTGCATGACAGGCATTTGCAGATTTTTTTATTTTTATTTTATTTTGACTGTCCTTTAGACAATAAATTATTGAAACAGTAAAACATTACTACTGGATATAAATTTTGGCCACTGATATATGCCATAAAATGCCAAGAGAAAATAAGCTGAACAGAAACAGAACTGTTATTCGAAACTTTGCAGCTTGCACATGAAATGATCCAAGTTGAACTGGATTTAATGGAAACTGTGGAAGATGGATGATTTTGCTGTAAAAGCGTCCTCGTTTTCAATTGATGAGGCTCATAATGGTGGTCCGAACAAAACTGCACGTTCACTTTTGATTCTTGATTGTCTGCAGGTGCAAATTCAGTGACTATTTTATGAAATGTGTCACAATAGAAGAAATTGCAAGCCATTTTTGTCCCATTTCAGGCAAGTATGGAGGTGTATATGCTCTTAAAGGGATAATTCGCCCAAAAATGAAAAATCAGCATTTATGTGTCTTTTCAAACCTGAATGACTTCTGTGGAAATCAAATTGATTTAAAGACGAATGTCCAAGCTTTTCTAGTCCACGGCTGTTCTCACATGCTGTGGCTTCAAATACATGATTTTTGTGGACTTTCATGATGTTTTGGAGCTTGGTGGTCGCTGCTTCCTCTCCAATTGCATTGTATGAAAAAAAGCAGCTCACTGCAAACATCTTTTTTGTTTCACAGAAGAAAGCAAGCTTTGAAATGACGTAAAGGTGAATAAATGATGACCGGATCTTTATCTTTGAGTGAATTTTCTTTTTAAGCATCAAGATAATCTATAAATGGACATGTTAACTTCCTATAGCCAAAACTAAATTAATTAATATGGTGTCTCCATTCCCCACACAGGACCGCATTCAGGAAGGTCTGAAGGAAATATGAATGTCCATTGAGCACATAATGTTTTCTTCACTAATTGTCCTTGTACGTTGTCTTCGTTTCAGAGCCACGAATCAATGCTTCCGATCAGGAGATTTTGCAGCCTAAAAGCGGGCAGGAGTTGCCCATCACCCTTCAGTGTAACCTCACTAACTCACACAGCACCCACCGGGAGACCTTCTGGATGAAGAACGGACAGGAGATTTCCAAAACAAGGACAGAGCACAAACACACCGAGTTCAAGTGAGATTTCAATGTGAAACCAGTTTATTGGTGCTTATCATTGATGTTAAAGAAATTATTTTTTATTTTTTTTCACTGTGACATGCTGTCTGTTACCACAGATTAATCATTTCAACTCGTCCCTCACATTATAAAAACAAGCAGGAACCATGTTGATAGATTAAGAAAGCCCAATATCTCAGCAGGCAGCACTGCAAATAAATGTTTAATATATGTATTCTGTATTCCAGGCCTGTTACTCTGCACTGCACTGCTTAGTCTGGCTGACAGGTGGATGGATCTCATGAAAATGTCATATTTCACCCCAAAATCAAATAGAAAGCAAAAGAAATTATATTGTGACTTTGCAAAAAGTTACATTTTTAATGCATTATTTTTTTTTATTAGATTTTTTTGTCTGTAACCTAACCGTTATTCCCATTATTCTTGATTGTGATCTCTCAAAAATATTATATATATATATATATTGTGTGTGTGTTTATTTATTTGTTATTGTATTTTATTCTATTGTTTAATTCCATAATTATATTAATAAATATTATTCTATATATATTAATGTATTTTATTATATTATACATACATACACACATATATATATATATTATCATTGTTAATTTTTTTTTTGACAGGACAGTAATGAAAATCATGGCACGAAAAATGAAAATATCAAAATGCAAAAATCTGTGGTTCTTAAACCAGACTTCATTTACATTTAATCAAAACATCATTTATATGTTTCATTATTTGGATTTGAGAATCTGATTTCTCAACGTCTGTTATTTATTTCTTTGACTTTGGGGTGAAATTTCAGAAGAAGCTTTGTTTCAAACTGTATTTCAGGTACCTGTGAAGTCTGTAATATGGAGCTCTTCTGAGATGAGGATTTTAGTGTAGCAATCGCAGGAATCTCTGAGGACAATCAGGATGCTCAAGCACAAAATCTCTTTAGTAAGACGTCTGATCAGAGCGAAACCCCCCACCAGAGCTTTCAGAAAGTCTTGTCAGCCGGCCGAGAGTGATGTGGCGCAGGGCGATCTGCTGTCAGACTGCATGTCACAGGCTCCGCAGAGACGCTTGCACTCAGAACAGACAGCTCTAGCTCTGCGTAATCAAGCTCCCAAAGCACATCTCCACACAGCCTGAAAAATGCTTTCTCAAAATGTTGTCATAATAGGTTTCTCTGTCTGATGATTAATAATGTAGTGTTTTTTCAGTGATTAATATCAGCTCTTAAAGCAAAGGCTCACACAAAAATGCTTTCATGTCATTCCAAACCTTATTTTTCATTTGCTCTTTGCTTCACAGGTTTATAGTGAAAACATTTAAACTCAAAAAAAGACATTTATGTATGCATGTATATAAGAACTATAACGACGTATATTATATGTTAAGCCCTCTGAAGTCATATGAAATATGTGATAAGACAGAAACGGAAGTAATCATTTGCTGAAAATATATATATTCAGGATTAGTGGCGTTTTGTAGCCCTTTTTTATATGAATGAAATTAAGATTTCTATGGAAGCTTGTTTCTACCATGGGATAAAAAAAAACGAAAACGGTAATAGCAGATTTTTAATCTCAAAATTCTGAAATTTTGAGTTGATCTTATCTGACTTTTTTCTTGCAACTTTGAGAAAAAAAATCAGAATTGCAAGATATAAATGCAGATTTGGAAGATATTAACTTGCAATTGTGAAAAAAAGTACTGTGAGATAAAATGTCGCAATTGTTTTTTTTCGTGACAAAAAAAAAAATTTGAACTGCACAGAATTGTGAGAAATTCAGAATTTATATCTTGCAATTCTGGAAAAAAAAAGTTGTGAGAAACTCAGAACTGCCAGAAAAAAGTGAGATGTGAGATATGTGAGAAGTTGCAATTATTTTTACATTTTATGATGGAAACAAAGTCAGAACTGCAAGACATCTGATTGGCAAGATTTGAAATGCAAGAAAGAAAGTCAGAATTCTGTGAATCTTGTTTCTGGTCCTGCATTTACTGTAACAGTAGAGCATGATGCTTGCAACACCAGGGTCATGGGTTTGATTCCCAGGGAATGCATGCATTGATGTAAACCTTGAATGCAATGTAAAGGTATCTGCCAAATGACATAAATGCAAATGTTCCTCACACAAAGATGCTGTATGGCTTCAGGAGACTTGAAATATTGTGCAAGCAATGTAAGCTTATATGGGAGAAAATGAATTCTTCAGATTTGGATTGTTTCGCTGAATAAATAAAACAGCATACAGGTTTGCAGTGACATGAGGGGGAGTAAACATGGCATTTCCAGTTTTTGGTGAACTGTTCCTTTAACAGTTTTGTGAAGATGTTCTAGTTTTGAGCTGGCAGTGATTTGTGTTTCTTGTTTTGTAGGTTAAGTAAACCGAGGACAGACGATTCGGGTGAATACATGTGCGTCTACACCTTTAAGTCTGCTCCCAATGCCAACACTTCCATTGAGGTCAAAGGTAGGAAATCCTTTCACAAAAATCATTAACATACTGTTACCATCCAAATGCTGTTGCCATCCAGTAGAGACCTAACCCGTGTTATAATTAGGTATTGTTTGGAGTGTAATTAGCCTCTCTTCACCTTAAAATAAACTCAGTGGAGAGCAGCAGTTTGCCGGAGTGAATCCAGACAGTCACGTCCTGAAGTCTCACTGTGGCTGAAGACGGCGATTGCGTCTCGTTAGCATTTGTCCGCGCGGTGGGTGGCGTAGTGACACCCAGATAGCTGCTGTCACTCATAATCAGGCCAACCATCCGGCCTGGACTTCATAACGACTCAGACGTGCTGCGACTGGATATTTCAGACGCTAAATGAAAAGCACTCAGAAGTGGAAGGAAAAAAAATGTGACGAATGACAATCTTTTACAGTTTTTAAATTTTTACTTTTTTGTGTGTGTGTGTGTTTCTCATTAGATTCTAATTACTGTAATACAATAATTTCATATATTATTCATATGAAATTATTGTATTACATTTCATATATTATATTTCATATGATTTTAACTTATATACATTTTTATTTTATTTTAAATAAAATAAAATAAGCATAAATTAGTACATGACAAATATACCATATTTTTGCATATTACAATTTATTTGCAATTGATTTATTAATTATAAATTAATTTATATGTATATGTATAATTTATATGTATATATAACGTATATGTTTATGATATTACAGTAAAAAACTAATTTAAAATAAATTAGCACGTGACAAATCAATATACCATTCGTTTTTGAATATTGCAAAAATAGATGTTATTTATTGCAGTAAAAACTGTAATACTGTTTTTATTTAAACTATTTTAATTTAATTTTTTTAATATAATTTCATTTAAATAAGCATAAGTTAGTATAAATACTATTACAAAATATATTTAATAGATTTATTTAATTAGTTATTTCTTACAGTAAAAAAATACTATTTTTAATCATACATTTTTTATTTGGATTCATTTTAATTTAATTATGCATAGACTAGTATTTGGCAAATAGACATACCATTTTTGCATATTACAATTTTATTTATTTATATTACTTTATTTTATTGAAGTAAAAAACACTCTAATACCATGATTTTAACATTTTAATTGAATAATTCTTATATATTTTTATTTTAATTTAAATAAGCATAAATTAGTACATGACAAATAAATATAATATTGTTTCGTTGTTATTGTTGTCGTTTTGCATATTAAATAAATTATATTTTTTCATTATTTTTTGTGGTGAAATATGATCCAGGCATGTCCTTGACTCGTTTTGAGGTTATTAGCTTGTTTTCTGGACAGTGGGAGCTACAGATGACACAAATAATGTTTGTATGTATATGAAGTGGATTGTGATCTCCACTAAAACAGTGGCAGCGTCGCTCGCAGCCACAAACCCCCGAGACCCGACACAGTCTGAGCTTGCCTGCGTGTTCCTCGCAGTTAAGCCAATTTGTTTTGACACGGCCGTCAGACGCACTGAGCATGCCCGGACCATTATGTCAAGGCTCTCTTGAAGCGTTGCCTGGTTACGTAACGCGCTGATATCGCTGTCCGCTTTGGCCGGGCTTTTCTGCCCCGAGTCTGTGAGATGACAGCATTCAGCTCCCATGTGCCACAAGCTCCGTTCTGCTGCTAGAAACACGCGATGAGGAAGTGCAGCCCTCATCCTGACGTATTGTTCCTGTCCTGTTTCTATCTCTTTACATGCACAACTGGAGCCACAAGATGCCTTATGAGCTTATTCATATCAGTCTTGTTCAGGAATAAACGTGCAAGTATTTTGGTGAATATTTTTTAATGTCTAATCATTTCACAAAGACCGAAAAAGGAGCAAATGAAAACATGACCAGGTCACATTTTACCACAATTAACAAATTACATTAACAATTAAATATTTATTTAAATTCACAATTAAATATTTATTCATTTATATTTATTTATTTTGCAAAAAGAAAATGACATCTGTTTTTAGGACTATTCAAATTATTTGTAATTTCCATTTTTCTCAAATGTGATTCTCATTTGATTTTCTTTACAGTAATTTTTTAATCATTAGTACATCAAATACTATAGTATACTATAATTATGTACAATTTCTATACAATTTAAATAATGTATGATTTTTTTTCTTTATGACACTAATATGAATGAGATTTCCTGAATTAACAGTATTTACAGTGAAAATATTTGTATTAGCAATTACATTCTTAGAAATTATATTTTGACATAACTTGTTTTGTTGTTTTTTTTGCAAAAGAGAATGACACCTATTATTAGGACTTTTAAGAAATGTGTTTTTCCAGTGTTCTCAACAGTGATTCTCATTAGAAACAGATAACAGTAATACATTCATTTTCACTTAAAAAATAAATAAATGTATTACTGTTTTTAACGATCAAATACGAATATAAAATACTAATATAATATCAATCTTTTTGTCTCTCTATACATATATATATTATTATTATTATATATATTATGAATATGATTTATTATATATAGTATGAAGTTCCATTTATGATTTTTTTTTTCTTTCTGACACTAATAAGAATGAGATTTCCTGCATTAAGATTTTTTATAAATACAATTTAAATATAGAATTTACACAAAGAACTAATCAGATGTTTTGCATTAAGGTAATTCAAATTTAAATGTGTTCAATAGTCATGAAAAAAAAAATAATGGTCCTAAAAAATAGGATTCATTTTCTTTAATCAAAATATGTGTTATTGGTTTCTTTGATTTTGCGCTGAAATATGACCTGCACATGATCTGAGATTCACCCGAATACAAAAAAAAAAAAGTCCTGAGGCCCAGTGACATGAGACAAAAATATCCCGTCTTGGATATCAGATGAATATGAGGTTCTGTCGTCCTGTGGGAGTCGTTCAGGTTGAATGTGGCCCATCATGCAGTCTGTCTGTTCACCCTCAACCGCTCCAGTCTTTGGCACCTTCTCTCTCTCTCTCTGGTTTTGCACTCTGAGGCAGCAGATGGAGGTTTGCGCGGTGGGTTGGGTTGGGATTAAGGCTCTGGATTCACTCCCAGTGTTTCTAATGGCAGGAGTTTACTGTCCACTATCATAATCTGCCCTGTGCATGCATGTTTCAAGCTCTGCACTCCCAAGTCTTTTTAAACAGCAATATACTGTGATGTTTGTGCACAGTAATCACAGATCGCTCTTCCATACCGTGGCATAATCGAATTAAATCACATCAGGTGCGGTAAACCCCGGCCTGTACCTTTACGTGTGTTTATATTTAGTAAGACATTATCAAGGAAGGATGTCGGTGCGCCATCTGTCGTGCGCGTGAGTCATTTTTACTCCATACATTGGCCCTGCATGAATTCCTGTCTCGATTGTGCTGTATATATTCCATCTGTCGCAGATTGCATTGGGTTTGGGTTACACAAGCTCCTTCCTTTCATGGCAAACGAGAAGCCCTACAAATAGCAGCGTAGAGGAGCTATCGGTATCCCGACACCGTTACCGATCTCTGCCCGGCATTGATCACACATTTCCGCTGGCGATCAGGATTTGAAAGTGTGCCAGGCGATGGGGTGGAAAGAAGGGAGAAAGAGCCAAAGATTCACAAACGGCTCAGAGACGCTGTGAGAGAGAGAGGAGAATGCTGAGCTCACTGTCGCTTCTCAAAATGTAATGTCTTATTTTGGATCATATTTCACCACAAGAAATCTAATTAACAAAAATTGGAAATTATTCAGTTATACGTTATATACAGTTATACATACTGTTTTTACAATCAAATACTAATATATACTACATTTATTACATACATTACAGTATAATAAATGATGTTGTGATTAGAAGGAGGCTGATTTATTGTGTCTCAGAGACACTGTGAGTGCGTATAATGCCGAGCTAAGCTCCCCATCGCTTTTCTGCCCGTGACACACACACACACACACACACACACTATCCTCAGAAGGCACGTGCGCACCATAATTAGAGCTGGTGATGTCAGCCAAGTTCCAGTCCACGCCTTCTCCATCCTACACGTTCACGCTCCGAGATTCGTTTCATCCTGCTTAATTGCACGGAGGGAATTACGGCAATTTCGGAGATTAGCGGCGGCTGCAGAAGGTGCAGCGTGTTAAAACGAGCGAGGCGGAAGGGGGATGGAGGGGGTTACGATCATATGCAGTATTTATTAATTCCGGGGAATATTGGGTTGCGGGGGTTTGTGACATTGAGCTGTGTATTATCCAGTGAAGGGGAATGATGGTGACTCAGCACATCACAGAGGGGAAGCCTGAATTACCGCGCCCGCGGGGGGTTGCTTTTAATTAAGTCTGCGCCATCTCATTACGTCAATCATTTGTGGTGTTGGGATACATGGTTATGCAAGAACGATTAAAATCCAAAACATCCAAAACTCTGTGAAATCAAAATATGAGTTTTGTGGCTTTTATTTGTATGCTGTATGAAGTTGTGTTCTTGCTCAGTATTTTTGTCATGCTTTCCAGTGCAAATGTCTAAACATTCTCAAATCAAGATACATTTATCTGAGATGTAAAATTACATGAGAAGTCATTTTCTGAGAAATCAAGAAAACAGGAAAACGGCTTAAAACAAGAAGAAAAAAATAATAAATCAGCCAGTGGGGTCAGAAAATAAACTTGTTTTCCCTTTTAAGTAGATTTTTTCTGACCCCATATTTCATCTCAATTCAGTTTAATAGTTTAAGAAAAGAAGACTTCTATTTTTATGCTATTTTGCATTTTCAGTTATTTTGGTCATGTTTTCCAGTACAGATATCTAAACATTCTAAAATTGATAAACATTTCCTTGAAATGCAAAATGACTTAAGATATTAATCTTGTTTTCTGTATGTATTAATGTATTAAGAGTTTTCCAGAAAAAGACCAAAAATACTGATGACTTATCTTGCTCTCAAGTGTATGCAAATTTTTGTCCAATCAGATGCTGTCTTGAATGTGAATATCCCGCCCCTTGACCCTGACATGAGTTGACTAGTGTTATGATATTAATTTGCTATTTAAACAACCCTTTGATTTGTCATGTCCCAACTTCCTGTTTCAAAAGGAGATATTGTATAGGAAGTATTATTAAAGGTAGTCAGTTTTGATGTCACTGCTTTATGTCTCAGTGCTGGTACAATTATGAAGTGTTGCTGGTTCAGTCAGTATAAGGAGAGATTCAACAACATCGTGTCCTTAAGCAGGACTCCGAACCATACAAATTGCTCTGATAATATGTTCATGGCAGCGTTTTTAATGATTAAATTGTATGAAAGACACGGAAAAGTGATGAGTGATGTAAAAGCATCATTACAGGTAAACTCTTCTGTCTCTGCCCAGCTGCTCCTGAAATCTTCGGCCACAAACGAAGCGAGAACAAAAAAGAAGGTGAAAATGCGACGCTGTACTGCAAATCAGTGGGATACCCGCATCCTATGTGGTTGTGGCGCAAGAAAGTTGGTCGGGGATCTTACATTGTACGTAAGCAAGTCATATATATAATATATATCCATATTCTGCTCACCAAGGCTGTAATTATTTAATCAAACATACAGTAAAATTGTGAAATATTATTACAATTTAAAATAAATGTTTTCTTTCTGAATATATTGTAAATGTAATTTATTCCTGTGATGCGCAGCTGAATTTTCAGCATCATTGCTCCAGTCTTCAGTGTCACATGATCTTCAGAAATCATTCTAATATGCTGATTTGCTGCTCAAGAAACATGTCTGATTATTATCAATGTTGAAAACAGTTGTGCTGCTGAGTATTTTTGTGTGAACTACGATACATTTTATTTTTCAGGATTCTTTGATGAATAGAAAGTTCAAAAGAACAGCATTTATTTAAAATGAAAATCTTTTGTAACATAATAAATGTCTTTACTGACACTTTTGATCAATTTAATGCATCCTTGCTGAATAAAAATATTAACCTTAAATGTTATTTATAGGAATAGTTCATCCAAAAATACAAATTGTGCCATCATTTACTCTCCCTCATGATATGACTTGGAATCGCATTGAAATTTATTTCATAGACAGAAGATGATTAGATGAATTTTCTCTTCATTTTCTCGTAACAGGACATTGACAACAGCACCGGCCGCTTCTTCATCATCAACAAAGACAGCTTCACAGAACTGAGTATCATCAGTCTGGACATCAGCACAGACCCGGGCGAGTACGTCTGCAATGCCTCCAACATCATCGGCTCCAAAGAGTCCATGACTATCCTGCGGGTGCGGAGTCACCTCGCCCCTCTGTGGCCTTTCCTGGGCGTCCTGGCCGAGATCATCATCCTCGTGGTCATCATTGTGGTTTACGAGAAGCGCAAGAGGCCGGACGAGGTTCTAGATGGTAAGTAGCACTCTGCTTTTAAGAATATTTGCAAAAAGTCTTGCGGTATGATTTCCCGGAGGCGTTTGTTGAAATGATGATCTTGATCGGCAATAGAATATCATCCTGAAGTGCTGTTGTTTGGGCAGTAGATCAGAAAATGAAGTGAATTATTCTAGAAATGTAGGGCTGCACAATTATGACAGATTATGATTGCTGATTTTACTTGATAATAGTGACATAAAACACTTATTTTGTGTGAGGCAGCTGCATGAAATCTTCCGTATACATGCAGAACAGACTTTAAATGCAGAAGGAATAAAGTGCTGCAGGGACCACTTGTTTTTGGAACAAAAAGCCAATAAGATTTTTACTTTGGCTTTTGTATTATTGCAGAAAATATGCTCTGTGACCAATGGAAGTTTATGATTTTTACATATTTTCTTCATCATGATAATCTTCACAACTTTAAAGAATTTTGAAGCTGAAATAAAAAGTTAAACATAGGCTATAAACTAACTACACCATTAAGTTTACAACAACTCTTTCAATCTATATTTAGAATCTACAAGTGGAAAATTTAGGTTAGAATAGTTTGCAAGTGTGCTTTTATAAACACAAGGCTGTAAAAGCAACTGAGTTTACCTTTTCAAAGTGATGACTTTTAATGTCCTCTACAACCTCTGTAGTCCCATTTGGAAACTTGTAAGTTGTCTCCTTTTTCAAGACACATCAAATCTTTAAAAAATCATATTACTGATGTATTTTATGTTTGAGAATAAAACGCGAAAATATCTTGAGTTTGTATTAAACACAGACCTTATTTCAAGCATTTAATCAAAAACCCAGTGACTTCAGCACAATGCAACCATAAGTGCAAAAATGCAACTAATTTTCAAGTTTTAGGACTTATTTCTGCAGCACTCTATTGCATGTCTGAAATGTCTAAAAATTACTTTCTCAAACGTACAGAAAGAATCATTAATGGAATTAGAATCAGAACAGTAATTGTTAAATTCCTCCTGATGTTTCTAATGATGTTGCCTCAGCATTTATATTCATGTGACAGTCAGAAACGAAAGTAAAACATATTAAAACACCCATTTAAATAAACACTTACACAAATAGGCCAGTTGACTCTGATTGGCCATTGCATTCATGTTCTCAACAGAGCAGTCTGTGATTGATTATGGAGTTCAACCGCTGCCAAAAACATGTTGCAAATAGAAAATCTGGATGCATTTGAAGTAGACATAAATACTGACTGCTGTCATCAAAACAATGACTTAATTGCATTAGCAGTAACTGCAGTCTTTTATATTCAGATAATTGTGCAGCCCTATGATGTACCACACAAACAGATGAAACTAGAATAATCCATATAGGCTGTTTTGAACATTGAAGCCGCCAAGTGGGTCATTTACGGACGGGGCTCTTAGCGTAGTTGCGCGAGTGAATATTCATGAGTGTTGAGTCAGAGGAGAGCCACTGGGAAATACTGACCTCTATGCTTGACCACGTTTTAATCTGAGACCAGATCCTCCACTAGAAAGTCAAATCAGAACACTGGAGCGCCTCACATTTGTGCGCTCTTAAAGTTAATGAATAATTGATTCAGTCATCAGCTGCACACAATTCCCTCGTCTTAGTAAGAGAAACAGAAATGGTAATATTGTCCGGTTATCACAAGATTTTTGGAAGCAAGGCTGTTTCTTTTTGTTTTAAATCAATTTGTCTCACTTTGCACTTTTAAAAATATAGTTTCCAAAAAGGGGTTTTTGTAGCGATGTAATTGAAGAACTATTTTTGGTTCCCCAAAGAACCTTTCAGTGAGTTTTTAAAGGAGTAGTTCACCCAAAAATGAAAATTTGTAGAAAATGTCCTTAACCTCAGGTCATCCAAGATGTAGATGAGTTTGTTTCTTCATCAGATTTGGAGAAATGTAGCATTTCATCACTTGCTCACCAGTGGATGCTCTGCAGTGAATGGGTGCCGTCAGAATGAGAGTCCAAACAGCTGATAAAAACATCCACAAGTAATCCACACCACTCCAGTCCATCAGTTAACATCTTGAGAAGCCAAAAGCTGTGTGTTTGTAAGAAACAAATCCATCATTAAGATGTTTTTTTTTTAAGTTCAAACTGTTGCTTCTGGCTATTATGGTCCATAATCCATAATAACACTTCCTCCAGTAAAAATGTTAATCTCCTGTTGTCTCTCACATCAAAATCCACCCATATATTTGTATAGAGCTGTTTTGGTTTGTAAACGGTGCTTGATCTGTGCAGATTTCTCTTCTGTTTTAGATTAAGCTACTTTGTCAGTCATTATTATGGATTTATTATGGACTCGTATTTTGGCCAGAAGTGATGGTTTAAGTTAAAAACGCTTTCATGATGGATTTGTTTCTTACAAACACACAGATCTTGTCTTCTCAAGCTGTTAACTGATAGACTGGAGTGGTGTGGATTACTTGTGGATTATCGAGATGATTTTATCAGCTGTTTGGACTCTCATTCTGACGGCACCCATTCACTGCAGAGCATCCATTGTTGAGCAAGTGATGCAATGCTACATTTCTCCAAATCTGATGAAGAAACAAACTCATCAAAGCCTGAGGGTGAGCACATTTTCAGCAAATATTTCTTTTTTGGTGAACTATTCCTTAAAAAAAAATTGTAGTGTAAAGAATATCTAAATAATCCTAAGAACAATTTTCTACTATAAAGAACCATTTGTGCAATGAAAGGGTTGCATGAATATTAAAGGTTCTTCACTGCCAGTAAGGAACTGTTATTTTTAAGAGTGTGGCCGCAGGGGAAGAGCAGGAGAGGACGGGGAATCTTCACAGTAACCGGCGAGTCGGTCGGTCTAAACCAGCTCCGTTCTGAACATGTCGAGGCTGAGAGTGTGACAGTCTCTAAAGGGATGCAGTCAGGCATAGCTCCATGCTAATTTGACCTTTGCAGAACCACAGAAGGGTATCTCAGAGCCAGGGGTGGTCAGACGCTACCCTTTACAATGTGCTGCGAGATGCACCACGTTCTAGTGACTGACAATACATGACTTACAATCTCAGTAAAACTGAGCTGCTTTTATTGCACTCAGCTTAACTCCAGCTAGAACTAAACACACGTCTGTCTTATTTAGTCTCACTGCAGTCTTTATCAGATCCAACATCCACCCAGTAAGTGTTTGTTTACATGTCTAGCAGTAAATTGCATGGGATGCGCTGGGATTTCCTATATACAAACTGCAAGAATAGAAAAGAAATATCCTCTTAAAGTCAAGATGACCTGTTTACTTTCTCTATAAACATTCCCGGTTTTATAAGCGATTCATGCGTGCATGTTTTTCCAAAGGAAAAAGTCTGTTGTCTTGATCCTTCATCAAAATAATTACTTGCTTTACAGTTAAATATATAATCAATCATGATTATTTAGCTCAAAAATCACAATTATTGTCATTTTATAGATTTCTTTTTACAATTATCAGAATTATTACACTTTCACAGAAGCACAAATCAAGAAAACATTAACTTGCATGGATTATTTGACCTCATCTAGTTTCCTGATGTATTATAATTACCGTATTGGCCCGAATATAAGATGACCCTGATTACCAACACGCATTACATTACGTATTTCATGGCACACTCGTTTTATGCGTATTTGGCGCCACCTATTGTTGTGGGTGTATTATTGACATGTCAAAGTCTAGACCCTGAATATAAGACGACCGCGTTTATTCAGATGTATTTCCAAGAAAAAAACATCGTCTTATATTCGGGTCAATACGGTATATAAATTAATACACTCCACAAATTTTTACAAATTTCAAAAGCTACACCTGTGAAATTCCTAATATTAACTGATTTTGTTACATTTTTCTATTAAAGCAACAACAAAAATGAATTTGTATTGTGACACAGAAGTTGCATGCATTTTTTTCAGCAACCACAATTGCAAATATTATAGTCAAGATCCATGTTCACATTTATTTCAGTTCATCATTGAGGTTTGATTGCAGATCTAGACGTAGCAAACAAAACAAACGACCGTGTGAAATAAAACAGACTGGCACTATTACACTTTCATTTGAGCAAAATATCACATATCACTAAACTCCAACTTGCATGTTTGCTGGTATATTAAGATCATCAGCATTTTGTTTTTCTTTTTCTCAGTGCAGAGAGAGCATGTGTGGGCATGGTTGCCAGGTTGGGAAGATCAAGTAAAACATTGGGCAGGAAAGCATTGATTGATGGATTTAAACTCTTGACATCTGGCAACCGCAAACATAAAAGCTGGTGGAGGCTTGTTGCAAGATAAAGCAAAAATGAAATGTTTTCAGGATAAATAACAAGCAGGTAAATGTCGCAGATTGTGCTTAATTAATAAACAGTAGCAAAAATCGTGAATGCAAATAAAATACAATTTATCATGCAGCCCTTATTGTTTAGGCTGGTAATGTTGCAGTCAGTGTTCAAGTATGAAAGGTTATGGTGATAACAGCAAATAATGATAGATTTGAAAGTCTGTTCTGTTGGGATACTGGCGAGGAACTTGTTGATCGGGGCTGTGAATGTTGTTTTATGTTGACGTGTAGCTTGTTTGCTGAAGAACACAGGATTTGTCAGGTGAGCTGTGAGTGCTAAACCAGCGCTGCTTCTGCCAACAAACAGGACGGTTTCAGCTGGAAACAAAGGGGTTTTGTGTGTTCGTATTAAAATATACACTCAGGGCAGTAAGTGAATAACCCAGGTGTTCAATCAAACTGAATGAAAGTGTTTAACGATTGTGAGTCCCTGCCTGAAAGTCACAACAGTCTATTTTTTTCTTCTTAATATAATGGCTTCAAGTAAATAACAGGTGAAACTTTGTTTTTTCCTTTTCCATGTGGCTCCGTATTCTTTGTTGTTGGTAAGTTTGAGAACGTGCATGTCTTGAGAAATTTCTGCTTCTCTTTGTCTCCTCATTCAGGCTGTAATGTCAACGCGTGCTTATCTAATTATCAAAAGATATTAAAAAGCTGTTGTGATGAGATGTGTCATGATGTGTCAACAGCAGTATTCATTGTGACCGGATTCTCTACTGTTAATTGTATGGTTTGTAATAGGCTTATTTACAACATTTAAAATATGTATTTTTAGTATTTCATTCTTCATGATGAAAAAAAAAAAAGCTTCTAAAATATCTTGAATCTCATCAAAACATGTTTATTTTGACATATTTCACCTTCATATTAGAGGAATTTGATATGTTTTGATATTTTCATCTCCTTTACTGTATTACAATAAAAAGTTAATGTAACTGTGTTTTTTAATCATGAAAAAGTAGTACAACATATACCACAATGACCTTTGGATAATTAACAATTTTAATAATATTTACAATCTATAAATATTTCATTTTTTTATATTACAGTAATCAGAATTTGTTTTTATTTTTAGCTATTTTATTTATATTTGCATTGCATTGCAGTAATGGGAATTGGAGAATAAGTGTAGTTAACTGTAAAACATTTTTACAAAAAATAAATGTATATTTAAATATTATTTAATATTTAATACAGTTCTAATTATATATAATAAAAGTACAATTAAGATTTGTACATAATATTTATTTTTATATACTTTTATTTTATAAAATATTATATATTTTTATAATAAATATATGTAATTGCATATACATAATTATTATATTTTCATTATATATATTTATATATTAAATAATATTTATGCAATATATATATATATAGAGAGAGAGAGAGAGAGAAAGAGAGAGAGAGATTATTTTGCAGTGAAATATGGCTTGTATATGCTCATGAGATTCACCCTTACATCTTTATAGTAAGTCATCACATGACCTGGTTACTTCTGTTCATTTAATCAAAGCTGTCACTTGAGACACACCTTCCTAATGAATAAAATGAGAATCAGAGTAACGTAGAAAAACAGATCATTGCTTCATTTTTAAGCATCAATTACAGCGCGTGTCTGGCTGGCTGTTTTGCTCTGGATGATTCGCTGAACGACCTCTACAGACACTATCTCACAGCAAGACCACATGCAAAACATGCAGTAAGGAGAGAAAGTTAGCGTGCATGAACGGCGTGTTCTGTTTTGTGGTTTGGGGAGGATTTGTCCCCAGGAGAGGGAGTGATGGGAGGCTGCGCTAGATTAAGGTAGATTATATCTGCCCACAGTTTTATCATCAGAATCAGAGATGAGGACGTAATGTGATGACGCACGTTACAGCTGAAATCCTCGTGCCAGGATTTCATATTTCCAACAGCGGCGTCCTCTACACCTCTGTGTGCAGATGTACTGACACGAGTGAAAGTGAATTACTGCATGAACGTTTGTTCACACTGACGGTGATTTTATGCAACTGGAGGTCGAATAATCAACGTTAATAGCAGGCTGCACAACAAAGGCCATAGTTTTTGAAAATCTGAACCACAAATTAGATGTATTATTAGTAAATATAATATAATATTAATAATAATAATATAATATAATGGAAAGCAGCTGTATATAATGCATTATATCATGAACAAGATGAATGTTTATCAGTGATTGGAATTACCTGAAATTGCAATGAAAATTTCAATGTTTTGCAATCCTTGCAATTTTTTTTTCTTTTAATTTAAATGTGAAATAAGGCCTTGCAAATCACAGTGGCATATATAATATAATATAATATAATAATGGAAAGCAGCTGTATATTATGCAGTAAATCATGAACAAAAATTTAAATTGCAATGTAAAATTAAATGTGCTGTAAGCAGTTTTAGCTGTTTTGCAAATCTTGTATTTTTTTATTTATTTCAATGTGAAAAATGAGCTTGCAAACCACAGTAGTATTTCTATGACTTTCCAAAAGAGGAAATAAAATATGGAGAGATTGACTACATTGATCAGAAGAGAGAAAGATGTCAAATTTGCTGTTGTATTAGAAACTGCAATTTAATAGTAAGGTAATATTACACAAAGTATAGTGTTATAAATGTACATTACATTTAAAAAAATGAAATTATAAAAACTTTTGATTTATGATGTTAATAACGGTGGAAACGTGTCTGAAAAGAATCCATTGTGTCGCTCAACATTTGCGTAAAGTTAAACTCTGCTCAACATTATGTGTTACTAGAAATGGCCACATTACATCCACAGGAACATTAGTTTGGTATGTTATATGTAAATAGTGAGGGGAAAAAACTTGATCTGAATGTTTAGTCTGATGGTTGTGAATTCAGAAGGATGAGGTTGTGATCTCAGATGTGTGTCAGAGTCATATTGTGCCGTCATAACCTGCTTGGTGTCCAGCGCTGTGAATGCTGCTGCCTGTGGACGCATGTGCTGTCCTGACACGCATACACTAACCAGAACTACCCATCTGTCTGTGGAGAGACGCAGTGACCTCTAACTCAAATGACCTTCCTGCATCAGCAATAACCTGCTCGAGTTGTACTGCTGTTTTATTCATCTGCAGAGCAGATTTATGCAGTGTCAACACACCAGTTGATTTACATGTCTTTTCCAGTTGTTCATAATAGCTGGATAAGTATTATTATATGTTTTATTTTATATATATTTCTATTTTTTTAACATTAAGTTCTTAATCTAATAACTAAGTAGTAATATATTTATTCATTTAATCATCTAATATTTTAATAATATTGTAGCTTTTTTTTAATAAACAAAATTTTCTACTGCAACTTAAATGTATTTTATTTATTCGTGAGTTACGAAGGCAGCATTTCCATTTTAATTTTTTTTACATTTTTCAAGTAATGTTTACATTTTATTTCAGATTTAATTCAATTAAGAAAATTATTAATTAGTAATTTTATTAAACACAAACTTTTTAATTTATTCAGTTAGTTGCCAAGACATTTCCATTTTTTTATATTTTTTAAGTTATTCATCTAATATTTATATTTTATTTCAGCTTTATTTCAATTAACAATGACTTTTTTTAGTAATTTAAGTACTTAAACTTATTTTATTAGTTAGTTGCTAAGGCAACATTCCCAATTTAAAAAAAAATATTATTTACATTTTTTCATCTGATATTTATATATTTATTTCAGCTTTATTCAATAAATGATTTTAATAGTTTTAGTCTATTTTAGTTAGTTGCCAAGGCAAAAATATATTTTTTTACTTTGAATATTATTATTATTTTAACTGAGCATAACAGTCTCCATAGAACATGCCATGACTTACCAAGAAATTGAAATTTTTAAATTCAGACATTTGTGATGATCTTAAGAACCCATATAATGTCTTCAGTGGAGATCATTTTTATTAATATTAGTGGATAATCTAAACATTTAAAAAACAATTATGTGTTTGCACTTCAATTGTGACATCATAAGCCCAGTCAGAGAAAAAATAAATAAAACATCAAATTATTTCAGAATGTTGGTCTCTATAATATAATATAATATAATGCAACTTCAGTAATTACAAAATGTCATTTGGCTGCTGTTGCATTTTAAGATGACCATTTAAAGTGAAATAACTCAATAACAATCACGTTTATCATCTCATTTTGTGAAACTTCCACTTCAGAAAAAAGTATAGTGTAATGAGAAAGCAGTCTGAAGTGTGATTGATTAATATGTCTTTTCTTCTTGCATGTTCTTCACCTGCATGTCGACCTGATGAAGATGATGAACCAGTTGCACCAATGTAAGAACACAATTTATGAACACCATAAATGAGTTTATTAACACATGTCGTTACGATGCTGCAAAGTGTTTAACCGTACACATATGTCACGCAGAAAAACAAACTCCACGAACAACCACAAAGACAAAAACGTCCGACAGCGGAACGCCAACTGAGCCCACAGACCAACGTAGAAGAAAGCTGAAGGTTTACGCTTTATGATTGAGTCTGGAGTTACAAAGCAGCATGCGAACGTTCCCTTTAGTCGACTAAATGCTTCCCCTTCCCCTGTTTCCAGATGACCAACTGCATATCCTGACCATACATATCCGAGGAGAGGAGACGCTCCTGGCGATTTTCAGCGAGACGCATATCCTGCCTCACGTGGAGAAGAAAACAACAATAACGACAGCATTACACTGGCAGAAACGAACAATAAAGACTGTCTTAAGTTTGCCTTATTCAGGCTCATGATCTGTGTGAATGTGGATGCTGACTGAACCATTCTGAAGGTGATGATGAAGATGATTTTACTACATGTGCTGTTAACGTTGCATTTGGTTCGTTTATCATGCCCTCCTGCTGCACTAATTCTTGTTCATATCGACATGTTGTCTCGAATGCATGCAATAACATAATCGAATAAGATTCAGATATCGTTTTTCTATTGTTACTTTAAGTGGCGTTGCATCCAAATGAATAGCCAGTGTGTGTGAGAGTGAGTGTGTGTGTGTTTTTAAAGAAATTTAAATGGATAAAAAAGTAAGGAATCATTGAGATCTTTGTACAGTTTATCATCCAATAAAACAATACTAAAAGGAGGTGTTTTGTCTTAAACTAGAATGCAAGAACCTTTGTGAGTGGCAGAACAGTATTTAATCTTAAAGCTGATATTGTATTAAATGAAATGGATACATGTAACATTTATTTTCTAGAGTTATTTAGACGTCTGGTACATGTGGTGCTGTAAGTGTTCAAATATTACAATAGCATCTGTAAAAAGGAAAAGAATATATCTTTTTTTGTAAATGTCCTGTTTCTTTTTAGAGAAAAGATGATTCTTGTACAGCATGGCTATAATCCTATGCAATATGTATTCATATAGACCTACTGACAATTGTAAGGTGGGGCGGGTTTGTTTCATTTCAGAGAATAAAAAAGCTTTAACGGGACAGTTCAGAGATAAGGGTGCTTCGCATTTGAAATGCACTGCTGTAGTTGCATGACAACTCCTGATCAATACAGTGTGTGTCATCATGACAACAGACCAACATTCAAGGGAGGAAGTGGGTGGAGCTAAAGCCATTACAAACTATGTGAAACCAATTTTTTCCTTTTTCAGAATAAAGCTTCCAAAATACGTCAGTGTTTCTGTGTGATTCTATAGAAATGTGCTATAAATCACCCGCCTATTAACAAACTTTTGCCTTACTGACTTTATGAGCACATTTTACTAAAAATCATACTTTTAATTGTTTTTATGGGCGTTCTGTAAAGCCTGTCTGACTTAGTAACCAATGGGGGCAGAGCTTAGCAAAGGTGTAACTGGATTTTAGTATTTACTGTATATACTATTATAGCATATATTAATAAATAAAAATTTTAGCTTAAGTTTTAGTCATTTTGTTATGCGCTTTTGTCATTTTTATTAGTTTTTTATTTTTATTTAACTTTCATTTTTTATTTTAGTCGAGTAATTTTAGAGTAGCTATTTATTTCAGTTAACTGGCAAGTTTAAGTGTTTCTTCTTATATCTAGATATCATTTCAATTAATGAAATGATTCTTAATAGTTTTAATTGTTGTCATTTTAATACTTAAACTGGCTTTATTTCATTTAGTTGCCAAGGCAACATTTCTATTTTTTTTTTTTTAGATTTTAAGTTTTTCATCTAACATTTATATTTTATTTCTGCTTTATTGCAGTTGATGAAATTATTTATAAGTTTTAGTCATTTTTATACTTCAGCTTATTTTCAGTAAGTTGCTAAGTAGCATTTCTATTTTTAAGATTTTTTTAGGTTTTATTTTTATAATATTTATATATTATTTCAGTTAAATTTGTAATAGTTTTAGTTCAATTTAAATTTTTCATATAATATTTATATTTTATTTCAGGTTTATTGCAATTAACAAAATTGTAATAAAGCTATGACTTATTTAAATTGGTCGCTAAAGCAGCATTTCTACTTTTTTACTTTGTTTTTCATCTAATACTTACCATTTATTTAATCTTCATTTCAGTAACATTTCTAGTAATTTGCACTTCAACTTATTTTATTACAATTAGTTGAAATAATTTTTTCAAGATTTTAGTGATATTTCTATTTTTCAGCTTTCTTGCAATTAACGAAAAGATTTTTGTTTTATTTTAGTTTGAATTGTTTTAGTTTTTGTTAACAACGACAGTAATTTTGAGAGCACACTCTACCTCATTCTTGCATCAGCTCTTTCATCTTCTTCTCGACTTCCTCCACGAAAGCAGGAAAACCAGAATCGAGCAGGCAGACGCGCAGTAGTGCCTCCAGGTCTCCAGAGGGCAGCGTGCACTGATGATACGCCATCGGCAGGGACAGCTCACGCTCACCCAGGAAGTACTGAAGAGGAAGAGATTATCATGCGCATGAAAAGTCAGTGTGCACTTCACGGATGAGACATCTCAGAGGTCAAATTAAAATATCACTGACTACAGCATCTAATGCAGTGACTCAACACCAGATCCAGGCTGTCAGATCAATGCAGATCCAGTGGTACCTGAGAAAGGTGTTTGATTGACAGCGGTCCCATGGCAACGGCAGGGGCTGCTTGTGGTGCATCTTCAGGAGCCTGAAGTGGAAACAGAAATAGATCCATTCATTATAGTCTCAGGATTCACACAGAGGGCCTCCGCAGCCGATCAATACCCTCATTACTAATTGAATGTCCTCATCCCTGGCAATCTTTCTCATCCTGCTGCGGGGCACCGCTGTCCCTAACTATATTTTACACAGAGACTTTCCTCTGTGCTTTTGTGTTCCCTATATTTAGAGCATCAAGTCTGTGTATTTACATTTAAGATTCACAAATAAGCAGTTCAGCTGAGGGTGGGATTATTTCTCTCTCCTCACCCATTTATTATCATTATGTGGCAACAGCTCCACCTAGTGACGGAAATCCAAATTAACATTCATTATTAGTTAAATTAACTGCCCTCAAGATGAAATGAAAACTGAAACAAAAATATATATTTTTAATAAATGTTCCTGGTCTTATTATGCAACCTTCATGTTTGCATGATAAAATAAAGACAAGAAACAATCTTTCATCAAAATATGATAACGTCTCAAATGATTTCTACTGACTAACCAAAGGGGAAATAATATTAATGAATAAACCACAAGCCAATTCCATCATAATCCAAATCCTGACCTACATTATTTCCTGATAAATATTTGTTTGTCACATTACATTCTTTAAACATGTTGTACAAGTAATTTCAACTGTTATAGCTTGTGATGGCTTGTGTATAAATATTATGTGCAGTAAGTCCAGATAGATAGATAGATAGATAGATAAGATAGATAGATAGACTGAATGATTGATTGGTTGATTAACTTTCATAATTGTTCATCAAAATTGTATAACTTCTCAAATGATTTCTGCTGACTAACCAAAGGAAAAAAATATTAATTAAATCCTGTGCTGCATTGTTTCCTGTTAAATATTCTGATATGTCACATTACATGCATTAAATGTGGCGCACAAGGCATTTCAACTGTTTATAGCTTGACATACATATTATGTACAGTAAGTCCAGATAGATAGATAGATAGATGAATTTCCATAATCTTGTAGCAAAATACAACTTCTCGAATGACGCCTGCTGACTAAACAAGGAAAAAATAATATTAATCAATAAAATCCCAAGCCAGTTGTGCCATGACTAATGATCCAATTAAATTCTACCTTATTTCCTGCTAAATGTTCCGTTTTATATAACATTACATGCATTAAACGTGTCGCACAAGTCATTTTAACAGTTTATAGCTTGTTACTATTACGGTTTATAAATATTACGTACAGTTAGTTCAGATAGGTAGTTGCTGTTTTCTGCTCCAGGATTGTTCCTTTGGTGGTATGTTACCCGGTACTTACCGGGAAGCTCACCAGTAATTACCAGCCCATTGATGTGACCTGCTAAAAAGCCAAAGGACAAACCCACTGGCACTGTCACTTGCTCATACCACTGCAACCTGCTCTAGTAGTACCTACTGTACACACCATTATTACCCCATAGTTTCCCTTTATATTAACAAACATCTTTTGAGAAGATGGATGGGTGGATGGAAAATAAGTCTAGTATTTCCAACCTGCTGCTGCTGTGTAGACGGTCCAGGTTCTGCAGGATCAGATGGAGCAGCAGGTGCAGGGGTGGTCAGATGCTCCTGGACAGGAACATAATCCTGCAGCCTCTCCACAGCCTTCCTGCAAACCTCAGCCGCTTCTGCCCGACTACTGCCAGCAAACTGCAGTCGGATCAAACGGCTCTCACCCTTACACACACACATGCAAAACAAAAACACAGAAGTACCACTGTAATCAGCTGTATTTTCATATCACGTATAAACAAGGTGTTCCTTAAAACATGCATTAGGAACATAAGACATTCAACACTAATTAAACTCAATTTCAGCTGAAAACAGCATCAATGTAATTGTACAGGTGCAAACACAAAACCACATTTGCAACAATTTATGCATCGCATTTGCACATAAACGATGCTCTGCTGTTTTTTGTAACCAAATAACTTTAACAGGGACTGTTGTTTTCAAGAAATGCATCAGTATTCATGAAGCAGGGAATTATTGTTCAAAAAGACATGTTGGAGAAGAGATAATTAAGCTAATTAACAAGCCACAGATTTTGTCTTTGAGCTGTAAGTTGAAGGTCACTCGGAAGCAGTTATTTTTTTTTTTATTTGCATATTAAAATTGTTTATTGCTTTCAAGGACAAAGAGGCGGAGCCATCCTTCAGGACAACATGCACGCATCACATCTTGTTAAGTATATAAACTGCAGATCAAGGTATGGGAACATACTTCATTCATCAAATGCATAAATTTGAAACATCACAGAACTGCTTCTCACCTTCATTGTAATGTTGAACAGCAGACTGTCATATTTGTGCTGGATTTTCAGGAAGCTCTGTGCATTGAGCAGAGAAAAGCCCTCCTACAAAAAAAAACAAAAAAAAACAAGAAAATAAGACCACACATCACCATTATCCAGCAGAGACTCATTTAATAGGATTATATCAGGCTGAAAAACACATCATGTAAGCAGAGCAGCACGAACCTGCCATCAGCAAACCTCCTCCAGTGTTTCTAATGCAGATTCAGAAACACTTAATCCAACCATAAACTGAATAATCAATTAATATTTTTACCAACTAAATTTTGTGCTGGGGAAAATGTGAATGGTTTTTTGTAAATGAAAAGTTTGCACGGACATTATGTGTGGTATATAGATATATACCGTAATCAGGTTAGTCAATGCCTCTACATCTATAAAAGCATTTTCTTCATTGAGACATTGAGTACAAGGTGTTTTGTGCTATTGCACAAGCATGTCAGAAGGGGGCTCTACTAACAACTTCAATGCATGATTGTCATGTTCACCTCACAGGCAATATGCAACCAGGAACCATATCAACATTCATTCTGGTTCTAATACTGCTACTGTTACTTTTGCTACTACTACTAAAGGTTCTACTCAAGTGGGTATAGTTAACGTTTTACAGCAAGAACAAACGGGGAAACTTTCCCCTCATTTCATGCAAAATCAAAACTAGAATTATTTTCTTGGATTTATCATAAATCACTTAATGATCACTTGATACTTGATGAAGAAAGTGAAGTGACTGAATAAACTACAGAATTCTACGGAGTTAAAGTACATACTTTAACCTAAAAACAGATTTTTACTCTCTGCAGAAAAATGCTCAAAGAGGATAAGATTAAAATTAATATCTTTGCTTGTGAAATATCGCATCAGCGTTGCACGGCATTGTTTTTTGCATCTGGTTTGTTGTGCAAGCAAAAATTGATTGGATTGTGTTTAGAACAAAAACACGATCTAAACTTTGAAACACATTTGATGGAAAAGTGACTATTTCAAATGTAGAGCTTTTTTTTTCAGTTTGGAAAATGGAAATGTCTGTAAACATGTTATATATAATAAAACAGGGTTGTTCAGATTATAAACTCATATCCATGACTGAACGCCGGTCCCTGCTCTCAAAATCACCCCATGCTTTGCTCTGGATGGGCACGCTGCCTCATTTGGCTCCGTTGTTCTGCATGAAAGCTGGAAATGTGACTCATTCTCCAAATGCAGCTCCCCGGCTCACCATGAGGAGCCAGAGACTATTGTGTCCACGAGTCCAAGATTGAGGCTTATTGTTGAGAGATATCCGAAGCACTCAGCCTGGCAATCCCAAAGGGACAGCGACAGGCCCAGTGGGACGGGAAGGGGATTATGCTGTTCTTTCTGCGGGTGGAAAGAAATACGGTCAAGCTCTTATGATGGGCTCAGCGGAACCTGCGCTATCCTGACCCTGCACTTAAAGCCTGATGGGAAGAAGAGTGTCAAAGGCTTAGAGAGTGGCATTTCATAAACAGCCACAAAAAAAAACAAAAAAACATTTTAATTGGTCACTAGACAGATCCTGTGTGTTTTCATATAATCTTACCATGAGTTCCTGGCCTTGAGATACTAGCAGATGACCAGAGCCCAGAATATTCAGCTCCAGCTGGCCAGTGCTTTCACTGGACTCGAAAATCTGAAAGAAACACAAATTAGAAACTAGTTTAGAACAGAATCTAACAGGGACTTGGGGTGAACCACCCAAAACACCCAGCATCCCCTTAACAACACCCTAACAACCACCCAGAACACCCTAGACATCATATAGCAACACTCCAAACAACAATGTAATGGTTGAGCAAACAACACTAACACTGTCTTTAAACAAATCTATTTTAGAATTATTGATTTTATTAGCAGTAGCCTACTAATAGTTATCTTACCAACTTGTTCTACTCATTAAACGTTTTTTTCGAAATTTCGAAGAAACAACAACAACTCATGGTTAAAAACGAATGGGGTTTGCTTTTTTCCCCACTCTGAGATGTCTGTATGAATAAGAAATTAAAATATTTCACTCATAACACGCAAATGTCCCGTTTTTCTTTCCGTTGAGGGCGGCAAGAGAAAAGGGCAGGACTTTCGCTCATGTCTCACCTTCCATGCGCTGATAACGTTAACGTTACCCACGGGGAGAAATCGACCGTAGCGTAGCAGTTTCCAAACACAAGCGGAAATTGTCGTGTCTTTCGAATGTTCTCTGTACGAAGAATCACTTTCCATGTTCGCGTTTACTTGTTTTCCCGAAAATTAAGCGTGTAAAACGGATGAAAAAAGGCGGAGGCGGATTGACGGTTAATATTTAAATCGCGTAGCCTACTAGCGTAACAGTAGTGCGCATGCGTCAATATTTTCAATGTCGAATTTTTTGTTAGTCAGAAAATGAAAATAATGTGTTTTAGTGTAAATTTGGTTTAATAATGTAATATTTGAAATTACCAATTCGTTATAATTCGAGGAACTACATGTATTAAAACGACAACGTGTATAAAGCAGTGGTTTAATTCGTATAAATCTAACGTTATTTTCCTCTGGGTCACTGACACCAGTCAGTGGTCTCTAAAAATACAAAATAAATAATCTGACAATGTAATTTGAGTCGATAAAGCCACTCTAAATGTTGGTTTTGTGTGTAAAATGCGGATATTGTGTGAAAATTGCGTGAGGAGAACCTTAAAGGGTTAGTTATAGTCAAACCAAAATGTATTCAGACACCTTCAAATTTTCTCACATTATCATTGTTTATTCATAGGCTAGTTTAGAAAATGGTAATAAAATATGACAAGAACTCAGGAGTTAAACTGTGTCAATACAAATTCATCTTGATAATGTCAGATAACTTTGATATAAGGTAGGCTATGTAACAAAACATGGTCAGGCCAAAGTGTCAAATCAAATTTTTGGTCCCAAATTTTTATCAGTTTTACTGGAAGTCCACTGTATGAAGAATTTTTAGTTTGTTATCCTCACTTAGGCCTACATAAATGAACGTGTCCTGCACCCACTAGTAAAAAAAAATTAATAAAAAATTATACGTGGTGTCTGAATAATTTTTGGTTAGACTATAGGTGTCTGGGACCTGACTGACTCTGAGTGGGTGGGCTGAGCTGCCGCTCTCGCTTCTATGGCAACCCGACAGATCAGCATCACCATGAATATTCACGAGATCAGAGCGACTCGGGACGCGGCGGAAGGCGGTGATGTGGGCTACTCGATCGCGGGCGTTTGCTTGTGATTGACACCCGACGGGGATCCTCCTGAGGGTCCGTGACCTCCTCGCCGCGGATCTGCAATTCCTCAGACTTTCTTTATACGTGCTCGCAGAGCAACACAGTCAGTGCCTTGAAGCTGGAGACCACTGGATCAGGCGAATTTGGGCAGCCGGGTAGCCTAATGCGCCGTGGCATGTGCTTGAGCGAAAGACAGGTGGGTTTGACCCTTCAGACTATTCGGGTTTTGGTGCACAGGGATTTGTGGCAATAATTACACCCGAATTGGATTCGTTTGTCATTGAATTGATCGCGCACCCGTTTCAATGTCATAATGGACAGGTTGCATTCGTCCATGCGTAAAAGGCTCTACAGTTTGCCACAACACATCGGGCAGAAAGCGTCCATCATGGGTGATGCAGAAGACGCCGACAAGGACACCCGGAGGAAGAGCATCCGGATGAAGCCCCTGCCTTCCGCCGGAGCCCTCGGGGAGACCAGAAGTGGAGAGTCCGTGATCATGGAGACGGACATCGGGAGACCCGTAAAGACCAGCTCCAACGGAGACTGCCGGGGGTTCCGAGGCAGCCTTTCTTCCATCACCAGTCGGCACGTCCACGACTCGGATGTAGCGGAGGAGAGGCGTCTGATCACGGAGGGAGAAGTCACTCCGAGCGAGGAGAGCCCTCCTGGAGCCGCGGGTGGCAGCGCGGAGCCCGGCGGCGGCGGGGGAGAGGATGCCGCCGGTGCGAGCCAGCAGCAGCAACCGGGCGTCCCGGATCAGCAGGCTGGCTTTATAAAGCTGGAGGGCATCGAGCAGATCCTGCCTGACGACGAGAGGTACTATGAAGCGGGCTTCATGCACAGGCAATTCGGGGCGATGCTGCAGCCCGGGGTCAACAAGTTTTCCCTGAGGATGTTTGGGAGCGAGAAGGCGGTGGAACGGGAGCAAGAACGGGTCAAATCCGCCGGCTTCTGGATTATTCACCCCTACAGTGATTTCAGGTAACCCGTTCTGTGTCCCTCCGAAACACTGCTCTCTTTACACCCGTGCATGGGCGGGGATAATGTAGTTGAACTGACCCAAAATAGCATATAATGAGGGTTCAATTTCAAATGTATTATTTGTTAGAAACTATTATGTTAATAGTGTCAAACCATTATCGAAGAAGAAGAAAGCAAATGAAAGGCTATAAAGAGAGAGGCATGATTGATGCACTCTTAAAAATAAAGTTTTTTATTTGTTGTCAGGTTCCATGAGGAACCTTTAACATTTCCATTGTACAAAAGGTTCTTTATAGTGGAAAAAGATTCTTTAGATTATTAAAATGTTCTTTACACTAAGAAAAAAAAGTAGTTCTTTTAAGAATTGATCACTGAAACATTCATTGGGAACCAAACATGCTCCATATGGCATTGCTGCTAATGTTTATTTTTAAGAGTGCGTCTAAATTTGCTATTTTTAAAGGTGTATCAATGGTATTAATGCTTTTAAATAGTTACAGTTACATATATTTAACTCCATAAAATATCAGATTCCATTTCAAAGTCAAATGCCACTGACAAATTGGCAGCCAAAAAAAAGTCAAAAACATTTCAGTTTTGTTTATATTTTCTTCTTCTTCTTCCAAATGTGCCATTTTGCAACATACCAGGCAAAAGCTCTCCCAGCTGACAGTAGAAGTGCATTAGCTGCTTAAATTTTACATGAAATCCAGACACTCTCTCTCTTTATTAATTAAGACGTGTCCTTGGGGATGACATTGACTCTATAGGTTTGATATGCTCATATACACAGGTTTGTGCACATTTGCCTCAGGCTTCATTAGTGATTATATGAGTGCATGAAACTGTAATCATGCTGTGATCATGAAACCTTTCAAAAAAAGCTAACATTAGTTCATTTCTAATTACCTGCCATCTATATTGCATTCACAAGCTGTCTAACAGGCTAAATAGATATTCACAAACGCTGTGTGCCATTGATGTCTGTGATTGGGTTGAATTTACACACTGTTTTCATTTATGAATCGGTAGGGTAACATGTGCGACACAGGGTTAACCGCTAACCCAAACCCCTCCGGAGACACGACTGCTGTTTGCCTTGTTTACCTATTGATCCCGAGATGATGCTTTTATTCTGCTCGACATTATGAGATTGCAGCGTTGTTCCTGGAGGATATGAAAGGCAGTGTGGGAATAGACTGATAGAATATGAGGTTGCTGTGTTTGTGTGTGTGTGTCAATGCTGAGAGAGGAAGTTTGTTAACTCTTTACCTAATACTAATTTCAGGTGTAACAAGGAGTCTGCAAATATTATTATGCATTTTAACTTTGGTTACAATTATTTATGAAAAAATATAATGCATTATATTGTACATTATATATATCTTTATAATGCATCATACATGAGGGCTCTTGCTTATTGTTTCATTGTCATCCTCGCTATGTTTTATAATTGAAAGTTATGGAGGAGACATTGCAGTTTGGTGATCGAGTGGAGATGAGAGGATGTCTTATTCCACATTTTCCCTGATATACCTAAATAATCTGAGAGCGTTTTAAAGGAATATTTCCCCAAAAATGAATGTTCTGTCAATATTTACTGTTTGTTATGTTGTCACTGTTATTTTTTCAATGCAAAACATTTTTGAAGAACCTCTCCTCAGCTTATTATGGATAATCTTCCTGTCCGCTGCAGCTATGGCATCTCATTTGTTCACTTGAGATGCTTATTAGAACCAGCACTGTCAAGGACCTCAAACCTGGTTCGTTTGAATGCACCGAATGAGATTGTGAATGAGATTTCAGATCTTAGGTGGAGGGGAAGATTATTATGGAAAAGACCTGTGTAAAGATTCATGTTTTATCTTTCACAGGAAAAAACAGCATATAAATAGTGACAGATTTTGCATTTTTGCCTGAACTGTTCCTTTAAGCACACTGTATTACAGCTCTTTTATAGGCATGCGGGTATTCTCACATTGTTGCTGTGGCACAGATAATAATATCGTTGCTTCTCTCCCTCTGAACACAATAGACTTAATTTCCAGCGCTGATTACAGGCCTAATCTCCTCCTGCATATACCTCCATAATTACCACAGCACGGTCACACACCAGAGCATCGTTACTGGAGATAAAGGCCACACAGCATTCTTAAGACTGAGCCTGGGATATTTCAGTGACCCCTATTCGTTCTGTAGCAACACACAAATAACACTATTAAGTTGAAGAACAACAAGAGACATGACACAATATTGCATTAAGGTTTAAAATGTAATATAGTTTATTTATTTATTATAAAAGGTGCATGAAAAAAATTTAAAAGAAATATTTAATAAAGTTTTTTTTTTTTTTTCATGCACATTGAACAGCATTCTTAAGACTGAGCCTGGGATATTTCAGTGACCCCTATTCGTTCTGTAGCAACACACAAATAACACTATTAAGTTGAAGAACAACAAGAGACATGACACAATATTGCATTAAGGTTTAAAATGTAATATAGTTTATTTATTTATTATAAAAGGTGCATGAAAAAAATTTAAAAGAAATATTTAATAAAGTTTTTTTTTTTTTTTTCATGCACATTGATAATTCAGTGCCTTCAATATTGAAAAATTATTTAACAAACTATAAAGAGTGCATGAGAAATAAAAAATAACAATAAATAGCAAAGCAATGTTTAGTATTTAATATTTTGTGTGTTTATGGTATTTCATACATATTGTTAATTCAAAGTGCTTTACATACTGTAAAATGATTAAAAATTATAAAATGTGCATGAGAAATTAAAAAATAGCTGGAAAATTAATATAATGTATTTGTTTATTATACACATTGTTAATTCAAAGTGCTTTACATACTGTAATATGATTTTAAAAAGGTGCATCAGAAATAAAAATAACGTTAAAAAGAAAGACATACTTAATATAGTTCATATATTTTGTTTATTTAATGTATTTCATACACATTTGTAATTCAAAGTGCTTTGCATACTTTAAAATTATTTT